CGAATGGCATGCCATGGGAAAGTTGTGATGCTCGGTACGCAACCGCTAACGGAATCGGGGTGGGTTTTCGCCGATGCAACGGGTTGTCGGTTTTATACAGCGTCTGCCAGCGACATTGCTTTCCGACGATCCCATTGATCCCGAGCGCCCGTCTACTAATCCGTCACAAGATTCCCACCGCGCGGAAGATTTACGACGGGTGGCTATAAAGGATTGGACCGCCATGGACAGCGGAACTCGTATGCTTCGAGTTCTCTGGGCACGTCACCAAGCACCTTTGACCTTTACCGAAGGTCAGCTCGTGTCTGTCTGGAGACAGGGACGAGTGGGCTCTGGAAGATGGTTTGCACTTGGTGCGGTTATCTTACATATTTCTGGTGGTGCTTGGATCAATATGCGCGGGGCGCTGTGTCGCGTATCGAATGAGCAGATGCGGAGCACCACGCAGGATGAGAGCCGAGGTATCGGGATGGTTTACCGCTACGCTCACGATCTCAGGACCGACCTCGAGCGAACCCGTGGTGCTCGTCGCTACGTCGACGTTGCCAGAGAAGGTGATCCCAGGCTTCCTGGAGATGAACCACTGGACGACCCTGAAGCAGCTAACGCTGAATGTGTGTTTTGGACGACTCCGATGTAGACGTCGATCAAGAACCACGGCAACCGCCTACAGACGAACCGGAGATTCAGACTGTGGTTGTTAGTTACGACAAGCCAGGATTTGCCCGCACAGCGCTTCAGAGTGCCGAGCGCCACGTACGACCCCGACTGGATACTGCATCTGCTGAGCCGCAGAGTGAGCCACTGCCTCGCCAAACCTCATCGCAGGTTGCGCCAGATGGAGCTTCCAGCGCGACAGCGTGATGTTCGGGCATGCCCTGGTGCGAATACGAGATCAAAATCAATCCGTTACCCGAACACCTGACAAAGCGCTTCATTGGCGCCAAGGACAGCCGATGGAAAGACTGGCACGAGATATGTGCTGCTGGTCCAGACGGCACTAAATCCGTGCGCATCCACCGAGGAGAAGGGAGACGAGCAGGAAAAACGGTAGGAAGAGTAGGAGGAGGAGGAGGGCAAGGGGGAGAACGGCGAGGAAGAGGACGCACGCCAGCCGTCTGGCCACCACGCCTCGGCGCGACACGCGAGCAACTTCCCGCGTCCAGGCGTCAACGTCCCGAGCTTCTCCCGACCTCCCGCCCCCGCGAAGCGGAGCGGCACGCTGTTCGTCCGCAGGGGCTGCCGCCGCGGCAAGGTGAGCGAACAAGTTCCGGACCGCCTACGCGCGTTGTCGTGGCTTTCGGCAGCATGAATTGCGCGAGCGCTTGCAATGTGATGCTGGCCTCGTGGACTGGGGGGCCGTAGTCGTGCACACGGCCAGGCGCGTGCGTGCCCTGTGTTGCCACTGGTGTACCCTGACACCCGTCTGAGCCACGTCAACTCTGGGTCCAGTGTTTGTGCCCAGACATGCGATGTCTTGATTTGTTCAGTACGGGGTTCGTGGAAGTCACGACCCCTTTTCCCAGGGCGAGCTTTTCATCCAGAGTCGTTGTTTCAGGGTCCCGGGGCCCGGCGAGGCCCCCCAGCAACCGAAAACGGGCATGTTGTTTCCGTATGTGTGGTTGATTGCGACGCGAGCATGTTTGGGTGTCTCTCTCTGCATTCTAGATGTGCATATGTATGCGTGTATGTATGTATGGATGGATGGATGGATGGATGGATGGATGGATGTGTGTATGTGTGTGTATGTGTATGTGTTTGTGTATGTGTATGTGTATGTGGGTATGTATGTGTGTAGTAGTTGCGTATGTAGGTATGGATGTGTATATAGATATGGGTATGTGTTTATATGTATGTATGTGTATGTGTATATATGGTGGCATGTGTATGTGTATGTAAGTATATATGTATGCATATAGTTGTGTACGCATGCGTGTATGTACGTATGACGGTACGTGCATCATGGAATGTATTGGTGTTGAATCGAATGTCTTGGAGTGCAACGTAAAGTAATGTGATTGTATGTAAGGTGGTGCAATGTGTTGTATGTATATATGTACGTATGTATGTATGCATGGATGTATATATGAATTTACAGTGTTATATATACACACATGCGTATGCATGCATGATTTGCCTGTGTGCATGTATGCATGCATGCACTCACGTGTGTATATAACTATGTATGTACACATACGTGTATGCATGACTGTCTGGATGTACGTATGTGTATGTATGCGTGTATATGTATACATATATGTGTATATATACACATCTATAGGTGTGCCTGTGTGTATGTGTGTATGTATGGATGTCAGTAGTTTAGTATGGTTGTATGAATGTATGTATGTATGCATGCATGTATGCATGCATGTATGTATGTATGCATGTGTGGCCTTCGGCCTATCCCGTCACCTTTCCTGGGTGGTGGGTCAGAGGCTTCTTGAGTGTTCGGGAAAGTCTCATGGTCCAGCTCTCAGGGGCCTCTGGGAGGCAGTTTTGAAGACTTTGGGAGGCAGATTGGGGGCATGTTCAAGCTTCTTTGGGGCCTCTTGGGGACCTCTTGGGGCCTCGTTGGGGCCTCTTCGGGGTCTCTTGGGGCCTCTTGGGGCTGTCTTGGGACCTTGTAGGGGCGGAAAGCTAGATTTTGAATTTTGGGTCCCCCTCTTGGGCACCTCTTTGAGCTTTTTGGGGGCTCTCTTAGGCCATGTTGGGCGCCTCTTGGGCCGTCTTGGGGCGCTCTTGGGGGCTCTTGGGCTGTCCTGGAACGGTTTTTGGAGCCTCTTGGGCCGTCGTGGAGCGTCGGCAAAGCCTCCAAAGCGAGAAGACACAACATACTGGAAAAGCACTATAAATATCAACGACCTCGCAGGGCCCTCTGGGGAGGCCTCTTGGAGCTTTCTTGGGGCGTCTGAAGGGCCTCTTTGGCCGTCTTGTGGCCAACTTGGGCTTCTTGGAACAATCTTGTGGCGACTCTGGGCTCTTTTCGACCGTCTTGGAGGCTTCTTGGGCAGCTTCAGGGGCTGTCTTGGAGCTCCAAAGCGAGCCCGAGGAGCCTGGACCTTCCCTGATGACTTCGGTCCGGGGCCGTACTCGGCCATGGGGGGGTCGAATTGCCGGTTTGGGGTCCCTGGGGGGAAGTTGGGGGGGGAATAATCTCACACGCCTAGGGACCCACAAGGGGTCGGCGAATTTGCTCCGTACTGTGCAGCCCTGGGTGATTCTACGGGGCTTCGCCCGAGTTGTGCTCCCCGTTTGGGCTAGCGGTGGATGTCGGATGCCAAGCGGCGAGATGCTTTCGCTTCGGTGTCCTCCGAATGAGGAAGGTCAAGCGTGTGATTTCACCCTGCCCTTCACAAAGCGACAGGAAGACTATGTGCTCCCTTCAACATTGAAGCTGCGTCGTCGGTGATGCAAACTACGTGGCAACCATAGGACGCGACGCATATGCGCACATGCGCACGAGCGGAAGACATGTCGATGTTGCCTCAGCGCCGCGGTGCCGCTTGGGCGCGGCGCGCGTCTTTCGCTCGCCAGGGCGTCGGGGGCGGGAGCGCGCCCGAGGGATTGAAACGTCGCGTTCGCCTTCGCGCCACACAGGCCGCCCCTGGAAGTTGCCTTCTCACTGGGACGCCGCGCACCGCTTCCTTTGCCGCGCGGTCGGCAGAGGCGTCAGAGGCCGGCGAGTCGTTTTCCGGGCCACTGGAGGCTGTGCTCCCGTCTGGGACCCGCGCGATCCTCGTGTGCCGTGCCGCCAGAAGCGGGGCCGCGCGCGGACGATCTCGATCTCGTCCTCTCCTCCTCGGGAGGAGGAGGAGGAGGAGGAGGAGGAGGAGGAGGAGATTGAGGAGGAGGAGGAGATTGAGGAGGAGGAGGAGGAGGAGGAGCCTCCTGGCCGCTTCGCTCGAGCCGGCCCTCCTGGCCTCCCGTTCCGCCTCCTCTGCTGCCTCCTGTCCCTCGTCCGGACCGCCCTCGTGCTCCTGCCAGTCCTGATGGGCCTGCTTTCCACCACCACCACCATACGTGGGAGGGGGGAAGGAGGAGGAGGAGGAGGAGGAGGAGGAGGAAAACGAGGAGGAGGAGAACGATGAGGAGGAGGAGAACGAGGAGGAGGAGGAGGAGGAGGAGGAGGAGGAGGAGGAGAACGAGGAGGAGGAGGAGGCATAGGAGAAGGAGGAGGAGGAGGAGAACGAGGAGAAGGAGGAGGAGGAGGAGGAGGAGGAGCAGGAGGACCCCCTCCCCCTCCAGCTCCTGGTGGTGGTGGACAACGGGCCCATCGAGCCCTGCTCCTCGTTCGCCTCGTCCCCTCCTCCTCGCCCTCCCCGCCAGGCGCTGAAGGGCGCGCCCCGCGGCCCCGGCCGGGTCGCCTCCCCCCTCTCGGCGGCGGGCGCGGGGGGGAAATGAGAAGGGGCGGGACTTCCGAGGCTTCTGAGAAGTTTCTGGACTTCTGAGAGGGCTTCTGAGAAGTTCTGTCTGTATTCGAAATAGGCCAAGGAAACGTCTCAGAAGCCCCCCGGACTTCTAAGAAGTCCCGCGGCCTTCTGAGAAGGCCTTCTCCTTCTCATTTCCCCCCTGGGCTCGTCGCCTACCCTCGCGCCCGCTCGCTGCCCCGGCCGGATGGGGCGCACGCGCAACCGGGCGCCCAAGCACGAGCGCGAGGCGCTCCGGGCGGCGAAGGAGGCCGCGGCAGCGGCCGCCGCCTCGGGCGCCGCGGCGGCGGCCAGGTCGGCCGCGAGCGCCGCTGGCCCCGCATTCGGGTTGGGCGAAAGGGGGGGATTGGGAAAGGGGGGGTTACGAAATTTGCTGCATGCAGCTGGTTTCGGCCCCACCGAGGGGCCCCTTCCTCGATACATGGCTCCCTCCGGCGCCGGGAGGCGCCGGGAAAATCAGCTCCGTGAGCTGATTCTCAAACCCCCCCTTTGCTATCCCCCCCTTTTGCCCGACCCGACGCATGCGGCGGCAGCGAGCCCGGCGGCGCGGCCGGGGGCGCGGAAGGGACGATGGCGACGATCAAGGAGAGTGCTTCATGTTCCCAGACATGATCGGGTCGTAGCAAAGATCAGGACGGGAGGCTATGGGGCCGTCTGCGGCCCCGGGGGGGCCCTCGCCGGGCCTCGCGGGACTGCCAGGAAGCGATTCGGGACGAAAAACCGGTCCCCGGGAAAGGGTCGGGACTTGCGGGGACGCCGTCTTGAAAAAATCAGGACGTCCCATGTCTGGGTTACCTTCTTGGCCATAGCGCGCGTTATGCCCCTCCCATAACGTATGACCCCCCCTTCCAGTGCGTCCCCGGCTTTGCCGCAGTGCGTCAGGCACCACAGTCTGTAGTGCCGGACCCACACGGGGGGCGCAACGTTATGCCCCCCCCCATGACGCTTGCTATCGCCGCTAATGAAAAAATGCTCCCAAGGAGCTCACGGCCAAGTCCAGGGCGGCCCGGCAGCAGAGGCAGGCCCGGCGGGCCAGCGAGGCGGCCGAGCTGCGGCGGGAGCGCGAGCGCAGGGGCGCCTGGGTGTACAAGAAGGACGGCACGCGGCGCTGGCGATGGAGCACCATCCTGCTGCGGAGCTGCGGCGGTGGCGAGAACCCGAAAGGACAGCACCATCGCCTGCGCCACGCGCACGGTCGGCACGACTGGGGCTTCCCGGCCCCGCCGCCCTTCGCCGGCAAGCGCACGGCCTTCGACTCCGACGACGACGCCTGCGCCGCGCAGCTGCTGGCCAGCGCAAGCCTGGCACGCAAGACCACCAGCGCGCGCGGACACTGCGGCGAGCAGCGCCGCAGCGAGCCGCGGCGGCCCGCGAGCGACTGCGGCGAGGAGCGCGGCGAGCGGCGGCAGGCCGCTCCAGCGGCCGCCGAGGCGCAGCTGCGCGCCGTGGCCGGCGCCTCGGCGCTGGGCGCCGCCTCTGCACTGGGCGCGGGCGGCGCGGCGGCCGGGTGCGCTGCGGCGGCGGGTGCCTCGGTACCGGGCCCTGCGGCTGCGCTGGGCGCGGGAGGCGAGGCTGCCGGGAGCGCCGCGGCGGGCGCCCCGGTGTCGGGTGCCGCCTCGGCGCTGGGCGCAGGCGGCGGGGTTGCCGGGAGCTCGTTCCAGCTGTTCGCCAGCCGGCGGAAATGGCATCCTTTCGCTGCAGTCGGCTCGAGTCGCGTGCCCACGTCTGACCCCCTGCGGAGGAGGGAAGGGGGGCTCCGACGACGACGATGTGCAGGAGGAGGAGGAGGAGGAGGAGGAGGAGGCGGCGGAGGAGGAGGAGGAGGAGGAGGAGGAAGAGGAGGAGGAGGAGGAGGAGGAGGGGGCGCAGGAGTGCCAGGAGCAAGTCCAGGACGCATCTGCGACGCTGCGCTGCAGTCAAGACGCCGAAAGGAAGACCCCTCGGGGCTCCGGAGCGGTTCGCTGCGTCGCAGGTCCTGCCACAGTTGTTCCTCGGGCGCTCCCCGTGCGGGGGACAGAAGGAGTTTCGTTCCCTGTTGTGTCAGGAGGGGAGGAAGCACACAGACACAATGAATCGACGATTCCCCAGAGAAGATGGGAAAATATGGGAAGTGGGGGGGAAGACAGAAACCCAGAACATGTGGGAAAACATAGGGAATATGCTTACTTGTGTACATTTATTTGTGTGTCCCAGTTCCCCTTCAGTATAGCTCTCCTTATGGTACCTATTACGAAGCTTGCCTCTACACCCTCTCGTCCCAAGCCCCTCCCGGCATGCTTGACTGCACCCTGTCGTCCCAAGTCCCCTCCTCCTAAGTCCTGACAGGCATGCCTCTTCACTGCTGGAGGCAGCCCGTTGAAAGGCGACCGCTCCTTGGGCCTACCGTTCAGGCTACAGCGGCGAGAGCAACTATTGTTATGAAAAAGAGCTGCCCTGCATCCTTCTCAGCTGTAAGGAACGCGAAGAGGTAGGGCCATTGAATTTAACGAAGTGTCTGGCGAGAGCCCCGTTTCAAAAAGAAGCGGCCCTCCATCTGTGTGATTGTTGCACTATGTCACGGCTTGGTCGTAGAGACCAAAGAGTGTTTCCAGCGAGAGCCTCCTTTCAAACAGGAGAAGTCCTCCAGCCTGACAACCGATGTACAATATTTCAATTCGGCCAAGAAAGCATAGGAGGCTCAAGCCAGAGCCACCCTCCTTCGGAAAGGAACCGCCCCTCTTACCCATAGCTGTGGAACGCGTACGAGACGAAGGCGATCGGCTCGAGGGCGACAGCCACACTTCGAAAGCCGGCCGGCCTCCATCCGGGTAACTAGTGGAGACGCTTGAGGCGAATGTACGCGGCGCTAAGGCGACAACCACATGTTCAAGCGGCCCGCCCATCATCCGTGTAGTTATTGAAGCATCAGAAAATCGGATATCATAAACGGCAACTAAGTATCTGGCAAACGCCCTGCCCGCCCTAACGACACGGCTGGTGGCGCGACGGGGAGGAGTTGTTCATGACGAGGAGGGAGGAGGAGTAGGAGGATGAGACGGCGGGGTGGAGGAGGAAGGACAGGGATAAGGAGCAGGAGGAGGACCACCAAAAATGACAAGGACGGAGGGGGGAGGAGTAGGAGAAGGATGATGATGCTGGCATGGGGGAGGATGCAGAGGTGGAAGAAGGCGGGAAACGGAGGAAAATGAAGGGGAGGAGGAATGATTACGATTCAGAAGGCACGGGGACTGAGGGACGAGAATGGATGACGGAGGATGGGAGGATGGAAGACAGAAGGATGATAAGGAGCTCAAAGGCGAGGAGGGCGAGGTGACGGGTTGGAGGTGGAGAAAGAAGGAGGCGGAGGGAGGCGTAGGATGAGATAGGGCTAGGATAGGAATGCGGGCAGAGGGGTGTGGACGCTGAATTCTTTACGCTTCGCGTATCCCCACCAGCCCATCTCACAGCAGCAACTCTTGCGAAGCATGCCGACAGTCGTGTTTTTCAGGCGTGTGTCCGCTTGGCCCCGCATATCTCCCCTGTTCCTCCTTCCTCCCGCCTCCTTGTACATCCTCCTTGTGGGGGGAGCGGGAGAAGGACGAGGCGGAGGAGGAGGGAGAGAAAGCGCTCCTCGTGATTTGAGTCGTTTGGGGTTTCTCGTCCTGGTGTGAGTCGTTCGGGCCCTTCTTCCTGGTGTGAGTCGTTCGGGCTCTTCGTGGTGTGAGTCGTTCGGGCTCTTCGTCCTGGTGTGAGTCGTTCGGGCTTCTCGTGGTGTGAGTTGTTCGGGCCCCTCATCCTGGTGTGAGTCGTTCGGGCCCCTCCTCCTGGTGTGACTCGTTCGGGCTCCTCGTGGTGTGAGTCGTTCGGGGCCCGCGTCGTGGTGTGAGTCGTTCGGGCTCCTCGTGGTGTGAGTCGTTCGGGCGCCTCGTCCTGGTGTGAGTCGTTCGGGCCCCTCCTTGTGGTGTGAGTCGTTCGGGCTCTTCGTGGTGTGAGTCGTTCGGGCCCCTCGTCCTGGTGTGAGTCGTTCGGGCTCCTCGTGGGGCCTCTTGGGGGCCTCTTGGAGCCTCTTGGGGGCCTCTTGGGGGCCTCTTGGGGGCCTCTTGGGGGCCTCTTGGGGGCCTCTTGGGGCCTCTTGGGGGCCTCTTGGGGCCTCTTGGGGGCCTCTTGGGGGCCTCTTGGGGGCCTCTTGGGGGCCTCTTGGGGCCTCTTGGGGGCCTCTTGGGGGCCTCTTGGAGGCCTCTTGGGAGCCTCCTGGGGGCCTCTTGGGGCCATCTTGGGGCCTCTTGCGACCTCCTCAGAAGCGCAGATGAGCGCTGCCCCCTGAGAAGGACAAAATGAGCCCAAAACCTTTGTAAAATCAATGATTTTGCTATAAAGGAAGATGAGCGCGGCCGCCTCAGGAGTCCTAAATGGGGCCAAAACCGTAGAAAAATCAATGTTTTTTGCTTCAAAGACGAGCAGAGGCGCCGAACGGTCCCCCCCCCCTCGGGGCCAGAATCCTCGTGAGGGTCGTCGTTTTTTGGCCCTCCCAGGCGTCGAAAAAGACTCCCCTGACCACGTTCGGGACGCGATGATGATGGTGAATGGAGCAAACTAACCAAGGAATAGCTCCATTGAAATATGACTAATCACCACCAGCTGGACCAGCATGGCGTAGTCGCTGTGCACGATCATCCGCAAGGATATGAAGTCCCAACTCACATGCTGCTCTCATCATCCTTGCTCGCATTGAAAGTGTCTGAGCCTGGCCACGGACAATCCAGCCAGTCTTCGACGCAACTCTTGGTACACTTGTCCAGAAATTAGCTTGGACACGATTCGTTGTGGCGACAACGTCACGAGCTGCTTGATGGTATGGGCATTCAGCCCAGATATGTCTGAAAGAAGGCCACGGGTGATCGCAGTGCGGACACGGGTTCCCCGACTGGCGTCTCGTTTCTGATGATATTGCCCTTGAAAGAAATATGCTGAGCAACGTTCGGGACGCCCGATCCAGGTCCAGGGGGAGGGGGTAGGGGGAGGGGTAAACCCCCCCCCGAAGGGGAAGAAGGGGGGTTGAGGACAGAGAGAGCTCTCTAAACCACTCACGCCCAAAAGGCTGGTGGGATTCGTATGTAGTTCTCTCGCTCTCCCTTTTCTCGTGCCTCTCTCTGTCTCGCTCTCTCTCGCTTTCAATATCTCTCTCTTTCTCTTTGTTTTCCCAACCATCCTGTGGTGTTGGGTCCTCGTTTTGAAGAGACAGCGCCCCGCGTCCCTCCTCTCCTCTCCTCTCCTCCTCCCCTCCTCCCTCCTCCTCGTCATCGTCACGCAACCATCCTGTGGTGTTGGGTCCTCGTTTTGAAGAGACGGTGCCCCGCGTTCCTCCTTCCTCCTCCTCCCCCACCTCCTTCCGCTATCATCGGCATCATCATCATCAGCATCATCATCATCATCATCATCATCATCATCTTCTTCTTCTTCCCAAGCATCCTGTGGTGTTGGGTCCTCGTTTTGAATAGACGGTGCCCCGCGTCACACCCAGTACAGCGTTTCGTAGCCCCACAGGGAGCTCCACCGAAGGGCCCAGTGAGGGTGCCCGCATGCGTACCGCACACCCCGTACAGCGTTTCGTGGCCCCACAGGGAGCTCCACCGAAGGGCCCAGCGAGGGTGCACGCATGCGTCCCGCACACCCCGTACAGCGTTTCGTGGCCCCACAGGGAGCTCCACCGAAGGGCCCAGTGAGGGTGCCCGCATGCGTCCCGCACACCCAGTACAGCGTTTCGTGGCCCCACAGGGAGCTCCACCGAAGGCCCCAGTGAGGGTGCCCGCATGCGTCCCGCACACCCAGTACAGCGTTTCGTGGCCCCACAGCGATGGCCGCACAGTGCGGCGGCCGCCGACCCTGACGCTTTTGACGACGACGATACCCAGGAGGAGGAGGATGAGGAGGACGGGAAGGTGGAGGATGACGGGTAGGGGAGGACGGATATCAGAGTGGAGCAGAAGAGCACGGGGAGACATCTTGGCCAGGAGGGTGAGACCTCAGACTTCCGATTTGTTTCGCGTCGCGAAGCCCCCGGACCTCTCGACTCCATCCTGGTGGCCAGTCCCGGGTAGTATTGTCTAGGGCCCCAGCTTCCGATTTTTTGTCGCGTCGCGAAGCCCCCGGACCTCTCGACCCCATCCTGGTGGTCAGTCCCGGGTAGTTTTGTTTAGGGCCCCAGCGCCCAGAAGCGGCCTCCAGAGGCCGCGTTGTGTTCATGGCATCGGGGCTCAAGCATCGAGGCCTCGATCGAGAAGAGGGCAAATTGCAGACCGCCGAGCAGGCGAGACAGCATGGCGAGGATACGGGGGGAGGGGGAGAGGAGGGGGGAAGGGAGGAGCCAGCAGCGGAGGGAGACGAGGGAGGGAAAGGGAGGCACATGCAGAGGGTGAGGAGGGAGGGAAAGGGAGGGAAAAGGAGGGAGAGGGTTGAGGGAGGGGGAGGAAGGAAGAGGACGGAAGAAGAGGGAAGAGGAGGAGAAGGAGGAGGAGGGGAAGGAGGAGGCTGAGAAGAGAAGGGGAGGAGAGGAGGAGGAGGAAACGGAGGAGGAAGAGGAGGAGGAGGAGGAGGAGGGAGAGGGGAGAGGAGGGAGGAGAGAGCAGGGAGGAGGAGGCAGGAGGAGGAGGCTCGCGAGCTGCCAGCTCGGCTGGAGTCGTGCGGCAGCGACCGCCTCTCGCTCCGGGCTGGAGTCCTCTTGTGCG